AGAAGGGAGAGGGTTGACATGTCATGGGGTTGTTAACCAATGTCATAAAACAATATGTGTACTACTGTTTCATGAGAAACTATTGGTTCTGTAAACCTTCACCTGAAGTACAATTTAAAAAAAAAAAAAAAAGATTACACAGCTAGATGGGAATTTTTCATCATGATAGAAAATTCTAAAGGTATTTTCAGTAGGGCAGCTGTCAGCTCTTACTAGGAGAACAAACTGGTTGGCAGGGGGACATATTCCCAAGCAGGGCAACTTTGGAGATCATCCTTGAAATGTTATCAGATCCATAGTTTCAATCCATCCCATTTAGCAAAACTGCCTTAAGAATTTCAAATCGGGAACAAAAGCAAAAATGAAAATTCAAACCTCAGGGCCCAAAGCCACCCTAGCAAAGAACTTTCTGATTGACATCTTGCGCAGGCAGCACTGGTGGGCTCGTTTATTTTAGTCAAGGTATAATCTTTTATTGTTTTCTTAAGCTAGAATAAAACTTCAATGATGGAAAACGTGGTGAGATAAATGTTCCTGTCCTAAAAAGTGATATTTGTAAGAAGTATATTTGCATGCAGAAACATGCAGTATTCCAGTAAAAACAACTCCCTTATCCTTTCATCTTAGAATTCCAATTATGAGAGTATACAGCAGACTGCAAGAAGCATTGCTGAACAAGCTCACGAGCTGGCCTATGACCCAAATTACATGTCACCTTTTGCACAGTTTGCATGTGACAACGGATTGAATGTGAGAGGTAAGCATTCTTTGGGAAGATGATAGGGACTAATCTGGGACATAGTGTAACGGGAACACCTGGGCGGTGGGGTGTGAGGTAAGCTAGAGTGTTGGGGTGAGACTGTCGGTGTCCTATCCCAGCCTCCCACCTGTAGCCTGTAGCTTTGAGCAAGGTCAGCAGGCCTTAACCCTGGAGACCGAGAGCAGATGCATGTCATCACCCTTTCCCACAGAGGGTGTCCTTCAGAACTGGACTCCGTTGGCTACACAGGCAGGCGGAACCTGAAGCCCTTTATCGCCACCACTGCACTGCTTGAACTTGAGCCCAAAAGGCCTCTGAGGTCTGCCTGGAGGGCTTAGACACGCCTCACAGTTTAACATTCTGCCCTTTACCTGTCTGACATTTCACTTCCCCCTTCCTCTGGGTTTGTGGGACTCGTTGACAGTCTTTGCCTGCCAAATTGCTACAGCAGGTTTTGAAAAGGGAAGCAAAGTTAAATTGTCCTTGACTGAAGAGTCCTCCAATCTACTGAGCAATATGTAACTGGGAGCAGGCCAGTAGGTAACTCAGATCAAAAACCGGGATAAAGTGTTGATGGTAGCATTATCAGACTTAGTAGAGTCTGTCAGTTTCTTGCTGTTGTACTAGTGTGACATGTGAAGCATTTCTCAGCCTTGTGGAATTAAAATAGAAAGAAGCACATGCCATAGCTGTTTTGCTGATTAGAATACAAGCCTAGTCCTAGTTTCAAAACACTGGATATGTTTGTCCAAATTAGGATTGTAGGTAGAAACATGTAACTTTCTTAGTAGGCGGAATTTATCTTAACTAGATTTTGTCTTTACTGTGATTGATATAAACAGTGTGTGTGATGGTGGCCATTTTAACAAGCTCCAGTTGAAAAGGAGGAGGAAAGATATTTTTAAAGCTCCCATTAAATTACATGTAATTTCTTGGTACTTTTGTTTAACTAGTTATCAAGTTTTGAGTTTGGGGGATTTTTTTTTTAAATTTATTTAATTATCCCTTTTTTCTACTAGGGTATATTGACAAACTAAGTCTGCCAGAGGTGCAAGCTTTTGTCTCCTAGTACTTAACTTAGGTTTTCCATCTTGATTGACTCTTCCCTTTACAGTATATTACTCTGTTTTCATTTTAGGCGGAAAGCCAGATGACATCACCGTCCTTCTCTCAATTGTGGCTGAATATACAGACTGACTCGTCTAGATGTCAACTCCTGCCTTGCCTTTCACCGTCCCAAACTCTCCCCTGCCATGCGCTGATTCTGCAGGCAGGACCACGTTCCTTTGCCACTGATCACAGAGGCCAGTGATGTGAGCCTTTGGCCTGTCTTTTTGAGACCCAGTTGAGCTCTTTGTTAAGAACCACTACTGTCATTCACTAGCTCATATCTGCCAGCAACAACTGAAGAGAATCAAGATTGGAAGATTGGCCTTCATTTCTCCTTGTCCTTTTCCGTGATGGGATGGGGATTTTCAAAGTTAAAGTGACCGTTACCTTTCAAAAGTAGTTGAAGTATTGAAAATGAGTAATGTTGGTACAGCAAACTCAAAACTACATTGTGTAAAAGGGATTTTTAAAATCTAACAAATCGTATGTTATGATACATCTACTAGAAACATACATAATTCATCCAAAAAAAGTTAAATGTGTACTACACAGGCATAGTCTTTGTTATGATGATTGGATGTAGCTTTATGTTTTTATTATAAACTCTTACTTTTTTCAGAGGTTTATAATTCTGCTCTAAAACATTGGCTCTGGGTTATGGAATCTTGATCCCAGGAGCTTTTTTGTTAGAAATTGGGAGGAAAATTCGTTTTAGTTCTATGGATGCATATGTGTTGTGCTTTTTAAAAGATGCTTAATTGTGTTCCTGTGATTAAAATTTTGGCTGTTTGTTGATTAGTCCAAATCACAGGCTGGTGGCCTGATCTACAAGAGAGGTGAGGGAAACTCCTTACCAGATTTTTTTTTTAGTGGAAATTCTACTCAAGGTTGTAAAACTCCTCAAAGCCTAGAAATGTAATGTTATGGCTGAAAATCCTCCCAGCTGTCTGGTATGATGCCCCCGCATGGGAGCTCAAAGCCCACAGGCCTAATGGGTTGAATGGACAGCATGTAACTTGAATTCTGTTGGCTTTTCATGGTCAGGATACACAGTCTTACTATCGGACCTTTTATTAGTAGCCTCGCGTTCTCTAGAGCATGCACCAAATTCAGTGCGTCCACGTGGAAAGAGCACCGTGTGTGCAGAGGCAGCAGCACAGATGTCCACCAGTAAAACTTCTAGTGATAACACAATATTTGCAGTTGCCCTGAACAGACATTTAGGGGTTTCTGAATCAAGCTTAATAATGTTTACAGTTTCCGAATAGCCATTTTGCAGTGTATAGTCTCCTTATAAAACTACTCCGCATTCAGTTTTCCCATTATCTGCAAGCTCAAACTTATTTTTAAGGTTTGTGTACAAGTTGACTGCTGTAAAGATATATATTTTTGGGTCAGTTTTTTTCTTCATTAACTTGGTGGTAGAAAAATATATATACTTAGAAATCCTTAAATTAAAGCCATGTTTTATATGTAAGCCAGGTAACATTGGTGTATAGATGAGAATGCAATTAAACCTGGTAAGAATCTACGTGAGGAGAATATAGAGAGTCTTTTTCTCTAAAGGAGATACTTACTCCCTGGTTTATTGCATTAAAACTTATGTTTGAGGTTACCTCAACTTGTTTTAAAAGATTTTGTTTTGTGAATTTGTACTGTATATTTGAGTAACTGTCAAGCTTTTGTTTTATTTAAAATTGTTTAACATGTACCATGTACATGTCATTACTATATTTCAATGCATCATGCTTGTAACAGGCATTTCATTTATAATAAGAATGAGTTATTCATTTGTAAGCCGTTCGGTAATTTATCTACTATTTCTAAATTGGCATAATGTTAGGTATCTATTTTCAATCACCTTTAATTACATGTCAGAATGCCTTAACTACCCTAGCTTGATGAAACAATTCTTTGTTAGAGGAGATGGGGGGGGGTGGGTTGGGAAGGATGAGACTCGGTTTAAATAATGAGAAATTGTTGTGCAATGGTAAAACACGGAAGCGTGAATGGCAAGTGGCAGGGTATTTATTTTGCACAAACTATTCGCAGTCTCTGTATTTAAAAAGTAAAGAAAGTTGCATCCAGAAGGGTTTTGTTGGGAGGAATACATTTATACTTGGGCTGACAACTTCACTTCTTTTGTTTGGGGTTTTTAATTATTTCTGGTCAGAGGTACATAGCCTTATGATCTGGATATATTTTGCATTAATTTTCCAATGCCTACACTTAATTCCTGGGAAGAGCAACGCTGGTGAAGTTACTGGTTTTCCTCTGCTCTCATTTAACCTATCAAACACAATCGTTGCAGAGCTAGATTGGTGGTTTTACACAACTCATTTAATCAGCTTCTATTTTTGAGAAATCGTTGTTAAAAATTGACAGTGTGTTTCAGTGATGTTGAAAATAGTGGGACAAGAATTGAGTTTCACAGTGGAATTGACTTTGGACCTGGCCTGTTGGTTAGTGACATAAAATATTTTCCCTATTTTCTTCTCCCTGTCCTTTTTGTGTCATGCGCTTAATTTTCTGACTGCCGGGGGTCAGTTGGAGTGCTGCTTACCAGGCAGCTGCTCTCCCACTCTCAGTGGTCAGAGGCTGTATTGGACCCAGACTAGAATTCCAGGTCACAGGACCCTAGCCTCTGGGGGTGTGACTGTGCTATACCACTTGGTGGGTCTGATTCTGAACCTGATGTGTGTGTTTGTTATGTTTTAAATCAAGCAGTATAAACACACACGCACATTTGCCTCATGTAATAGACTTTTATAACAAAAGAGAAAAATTGGATTTCTAATTTACATATGGCAAATTATTTATCCCTCTCTGGATGCACCAAAGACCAGTAAAGTTTATAGCTTTTCCATCTATATTTATAAAGCAATACTGTATTATAAAAGTCAATATTTTTATCACATGCTTGAAATTTTTATTTCGTTCTGTTTTAAAATGTGCACTCTAAACATATCAGAACCTTATTTCTTCCTACGAACTTAAGCTGCCTGCGCACAATAAATTTTTTTTTACTGAATGGAGATGCAGTAGAGTCCATAGGCTCTTGAAAACTGAAATAAGAAATGAAGGGAAAAACCAAGTTATTTCTCTTGAATTACTCTACTGGCTTAATGTGATTGATGGGTATTAAATCACAAAAGAATTCATTCCAGGTGTGAATGTCTAGGGGTTGGGCTGTGTCTAGATTAGAAACTAGATTTCAAGCTTTACATGCTGGGAAAAGAGTTTCCTATCAGCGGCTTTTGTTCTGCATGGAACAGTAGCCCAGAGATGGAAACCACCTTCAGTACCACCAACCTACCACACCATGTAGCAGGGCAGGAATTGTGGGAGTTTCCTGAGTCAGTTTTGATGTTCTCAAGGTTATAAACAAGACTGGCTAGAACTGTAAAGGTTTGTACTTTGGGATGAGTTCATGATTGTCACCTTATACCACCTATGTTTGGTAGAAGCTACCACATCCAATTTCCCTGGAAACTGTATCAGATTTTTGCATTTAACAAATTTTACAATACCAAAAAAACAAAATTTACTTAAAAAACGAAACTATGAACAAAAAGCATTTGGATTCTATTTGTAAAAATAGATACGTAATAAATTCAATCTTTTTTGCAAAATTGAACCTCTCTACTAAAAAGTGTCCATGTCAAAATTTTAACCATTACCAGGTAGTTTGTGTCAAAGATGGCTAAATAATGGAAGCAAATTTGTATATACTAATGAGCTGCTTTTTTCTGTTGAGACTATCATACTTGTCTTACCCAAGAGGCAATTATTACCTGAATTGGATGTCTGAAATATAACTTATGCAGGAATAGTTCTGTAAATACATTTAAATAAACTGTAAAGATATTTAATAAATATAGTATTTATACTAATCTGTGTATTCCTTTTTAATTTGAATAGTAGGTAAAAATAGATTTATCATCAAACAAGACCCTGCCCTTGACACTGAATTTGTGGGTCTCCTTCCGGTCCTCATTTCCAAGCTTCTTAGTGACTGCACTTCGCAGCTATCGTTTTCTGTCTATTAGCTTATCTGCCTTAGCTCTTTTTCACCAGCTGGTTTACTATATGACCTTAGCTTCTTCAAAAATCCATCAACACAGATTAATTGAAACAGCTCTGCACCTTCCAAATGGTATGGACTGGGCCACAGAAAAACCTGGTGTCTTAAATTTAGCACTCTGTATCCAACTCCTAAAATCCAAACTGTATGTAATTTAACAGTGTAACTGTCTTTTACAGACCAGTGCAGCATCCAGGCTACTATTCATTATGACGCCTTCACGTCCTCAGTCCCCCTGCCTATTACAATGAGCGAATCGGAAACTTCAGCAAAGTGACCTACCGTTATACTCCTGTGTATAAAAGTTCTCCATGTAGTCATCTTCATTTTTTAAGAATATCAGAATTTCAGTGTTAATCATCAGTGTAAGCAAAAGATACATAAATGTTCAGCCTACAGTGTGAAAGGACTATGTTAAAATTACGTGGGCATTGCCAGTTTCCACAAAAAGCTTGGTGAAAGCCCATTTTCATTCACTGAGGAACATCTTGGTATGAACTTGAGTTTTTATTAGGTTATTGTGGGTAGCCATGACTCATTACTAAGCTACAAGAGCCAAATGTGTTCTGGTTTCAGTTCACAGTCCTAAAGGCATACTAATCCCTCAGCCACCTTTGTTTCTGAATTTCTCACCAAGGCTAAAGCATAGTTGCTTGCCAGTTGACACTTCCTTGTGATTTGATGGTTTCAAAGACTTAATAAGATGTTACAGAGTCTAGTTTGTTAGGTTATAATTGACTGTAAACAGGTTTGTGGGAGGGAGAGGCACACACTATAAGATACTACATAACAGTGTCTTTGTGCTAGATTTTTTAGTCTGTTTTTGCAGGTAAGAAGCTAATTCTTAAAGGGGCAAAGAACAGACATTTATCTTTCACCTCGTTCCGTTCTAAACCCAGGCTCTCTTGCAAGTAGAGGTTGCTGCTGTATGTCAGATAATACAGACAAAAAATTTTGGCATCATTTCTATTCTTTCCTGCCTCACGGAAAAAAGATCATCTGAAAATCAGAACAATTTAAAACTGAAATAAAATTTTACAATATATAGAAAGACTCTAAAGTGAGGAGGGGTGGCTATAGATTTTTATTTTTGACCTTTTTTTTTTTTCCCATGGGTTATTTTATCTAAAAAATCTTTTAACAAAATACAAGAAGCAATGGACAAAAAAAGTCATGGCATTACATGAGAAGAGGTTGCAGACCTTTTTACTATTTCTGAAAGCACCAAAGCTCACATTTGCAATCAAATACAAAATATTCCTGTCTGCTAATCACAAACTTCTGTTTCTACTCCAAATGTCTACTGATGAAAGGTTAAATACCTTTATAAAACTGACAAAGAAGATGTGAAAAGCTCTGGAGTGAGCCTGCACTGAAGTAAAGAATTCTAATGGGCTTTTTCCCTGCATAGAAAACTCAGGAGCCTCCCAAGTCACATCGTGGATTTGAGGTAAATTATACATGCTTGCCAAGCAGTTATTTCTAGATAAAGTTGTTGTATAAGATGGTGCCACTTAGAAGAGCAGAAGCCCATTCTTCATTTCATCTTGGAAGTCTAAGACAATATGTACTAAGTGTAAAAATGTGTTTGAAGTGCAAGTGAGCCAGTAAATGGTCTGGGGGCCAACTCAGTAGCCATGATTAAATGTTAAATGTGGAGAAACTGCCATTATTCATGTCCTCTTGACTGTCATTTACCAGACTCTCGGAAGGGTGGTTGAAGTGTTCTTGCTGACCAGAAGAAACAGCTCCAAAGAACATGCGAGAAAACTG